CTCTGAACGCTATTACCCTCAGATACATCTGCTGCTGCAGCGAAGTGCAGCCAGACACATTCTGGAAAGTGCTACATCACAGTGAAGCTGTGGACTTGGAGTTGGCAAGCATTGAATGCTCCCCGTGTCTCACTGGAGCAGAAGCACATACTGCTTTCAAAAAAAAAAAAAAAAAAAAAAAAAAAAGGGCAAAAGAGATACCCATTACCTCGCTTGCGAGGCCCTATGCTTGCAGGGGTCCCCTCTATATAGTCTTAGGAGTAGTGGTAGGAAGGTAGTGAAAGGTGAAAAAAAGAATTTGAGAGAAGAACATAGTGTAGAGAAAAAAGATACCCAGCTCTGAAAGTGATTGCCCTCAGATTCATCCTTTTTCTTTTTTTAAACACACCCCTTGCAGTGCTAGTGATGCTGATAGAAGCAGACACCCCTAGCACCCGAGGAGAGACTCCATCTATTGGTGGGGAGCATCACCTGCTGGAAAACGGGTCCAGCCTCCCATATACAAAAGAAATACAAGAAGGCTCAAAAAGATATCAGAAGATATCAGAAGAAGAAATAGGACAAGTTGATTTGTGCAGGTTGTTGAGAAAGGAAAAGAGAAGGAAAAAACCTCTTCGCCCTAGGGTCTTTCCCCCATCTACCCTCCAGACTGCACTACCATACTTCCTACTGTGAATCTGTAAAAAAGGAGCAGATTTTCCAACACATAGGGACTTAACTGTCAGCATTGACTGCCCCACAAAAATGGGGGGTTAGCTGTACAGTAGCTTCTAAGGACATGTAGTGTTTGGTCTACTGTGCCGTGTAACCAAAAACAAGTCATCTAAAAAGTGCTAACGTTACAGGGCTGGCGGGCGCTCATGAAAAAACAGTCTTCTTCCAAAAAAAAATTCCTATTTACTTCGGCCTCTCACTCAACTCACTCACTCGAAGACTGGAACTACGAAGCAAGTAGAATAGAGAGCCGTATGATAGGTGACTATATCGTACGGTTCGGAGAGGACTCGAGTACCGCTGGCATGTTTTGCTCAGTGGGGAAGTTTCACTCTATTGAATATACAAGGAATTAAAGCAGTTCCTTTTCTTTTCTCTTTTTCCCCTTGTCTCCTTCAGCCTCCCAAGGTTTCCACATAACACAGCACCAGGACATCTTACAGTCCATTTGCCCCGTTTTTTGTGGGCCCGCGGCCGGTGTATGGGCCAAGTACTGGTGGTTTAAAATTGGAAAGATACAGAGAATGAAGATTAGCAAAATACCTTTCTCCGCCTTTTTATTTTTTTGGAAAAAGGAAGGTAGCAAAATACCTTTCTCGGCCTTTTAACTAAGATCAAGTGTAGTATCTGTTCTGATCAGTTTAATATCTCATCCGTGGTCCATCGGACAACATTAAAAAAAAAAAAAAAAAAAAA